CAGCAAAGGAGGTAATGCTTTTCTCTGTTAAATCTTTGAGTATAACAAGATGACAAGTGGGACAAAGTCCTTTTTTTCCCTTTACCCCTTTAATTCTCTCCCGTATCCTCGGGTGGGGAGTGGATTGGGTGAGCGGGTGTGTGGTTTGGCCCCCACACAACATGAAGGCATCCTCTTCATATTCCCAGAGCTGGGCAGTCACAGTACTCACGGTGAAGCCTTCGACATTCGTTACTGCTAGTGGGTGATGATATGATGGTGGTGCACTCTGTAGAACCTTCCGCCACATGGGCTGTGTGCACTGGACTTCATCTGGATCTTCAGATGTCTGCGGGACTGTCAGGTTATAATAGGTCATCTCCCACACAGCCAGTTCCCTCAGGTGCTGGATACTACTCTCCATGTTGACCCACTTGCCTGGTTTCCATATAATATCTTCTTTGTAGCGATACATCTTCAGTGCAGCCTTTAGGAACCTTTTCCAGAGGCTGCAAGCCGGTTGCTCTTTTTTAACTTTTTTGCTGATGACTTAGTTCTCAGCAAGATTTCCCAGCTGTCCAGCTTCTCCACTCTCTAGATCCAGGCTACTGGCTCCATTATCCCAGCATCTGAGCATCCAGGTGAGGAAGGGCTCATATTTCTCACAGCCATAATCTTCTTTAATGTCTCGCGGCTCACGCCTGGATAGAGATCGGATGATTACCGTCTCATCTATGATTTCTCCCCTTTTCCCTTGTGCTCATGATGGCCCTGCTCTGGAGGGGCCCACCTCCTCGCTATCAGGGTCATAGGTCTCTTCTTCTTCTTCCCTCATAGGAGGAGCTTCTTCTGTACAGAGGTCACGACTGATGGCAGAGAGTCTGGGATGCTGCTTGATGAAGTTTGAATAGCAATGGATGTAGTAGCTGTGCTTGATGCTGGAGTTAGAGTCACTACGACAGGGTGTACGTGAGCTCTCGACGAGGGGCAGTGCGGCAGAGCCGAGCAGAGTGGAGTCGGTGCCGTGCTGCGAGCACACACTGTGTGCATGGCTGGACTGGAACTGTTGAGGTTGTAGGCACCGGAGTTGAAGTTGTTGGCATGGGAGTCACTGCAGTGGGCATTGCAGTTGAAGTCACCGTAGTGGATGCCGGGACTGGAGGTACCAGGGCTGAAGTTGGCAACGGTGGTGGGGGTTAAGTTTGTGGCCGTGGGTGCCATAGTTGGAGTTGGTGCAGCAGGTGCCGGGGCTGAAGTTGTAGCCATGAGTGCCATAGCTGGAGTTGCTGTAGTGGGCGCTGGAACCGGAGGCGTTGTGGAGGGCGCGCGGGTTTGTATGGTTGTAGCTGTAGCTTCTATGGAAGTTAGGGTAGCTACAGTCTGTGATGATATAGCAGATGCCAGGGCTTCAGTGGCCGGGGGTTTTGTGGGGGGGGAGGGGAC